CTGCCTCTGCTCTCAGCCCCCTGCCCCCATCTCCTGCTCGTCTCCTGCCCTCTGGCTCCCCTCAGCAGGCGGTAACTGCATTGGTACAGGACAGTCTGCTTGCTTTCCCACATGGGATCTTCTCTCAAGGTGGGCCTGGGTCCCAGGTGTCAGTTCTGTTGAACAGACCTCTGTGGAGGGCATCCTTGTGCCCAGCAGCCCTGTCAGGTGCCTGCACTCAGCAGCTCAGGTGTCAACAAGTTCTCTCCTGTGTCTGCTGCTCAGGGACCACCCGAGTCCCGCCCGAACACTGCCCTCCCGAACACTGCCCTCCCGCTCCACAGTCCAGCTTGTCTCTGAACTCAAGCAGCTTTGCAGACCTTTCTAGCACAAGTCTGGGGAGCTGGGGAAGGTGGCCTCTCTTCTTGAAGAACAGGTTTTGGGACCTGAGCAGAGGCAGCCCCTCCTCTGGTCAGTCCTCCCCTCTGCCCTCAGCCTGAAGACATCCGCCATCCTGGGCTTCTCCTGCCTTGGACTCCAGGGCCACCCCTGCCCCGACCTGGGGTCCCACCACCCACGCCCTCTCACATCCTGGCCGTGGTCTGCAACTCCTGGCCACCAGGCTTCCTGAGCAGAGCTGGGAGGGCCCAAAGGAGTCTTGCTTCAGACAGGAAGGTGGGCAGGTTGGAAAGGCCCATGTGGCTCCCCTGGGGAGGACGATGCCCAGACCAGCCTGAACAGCGTGCTGAGAGACACTGGGAGGTCAGGGCTGGACAGGTGGATGGAGTGCACTAGTGAGTCCAGGGAGCTGAAGGTGGGCAGAGGACAGGATCCCTCAAGGCCCTGGGGGCGGTGTTCACACCAGTTTCGTGACCAGGACCGTCTTCTCAGCCCCACATGGGATGCTTGGGCGCAGTGGATGGTGTTTGCACAAAGGAGTGAGCTCCATCTGGCAGGACCCCCACCGGTGCCGTGATCCTGGAGCATAGGGGGGTGCTAGGGTTCCTCCCCCATCGTGCAACAGAGGAAGCTGTGCTGCCAGTGTTAGGTCAGCTGTGTGGCAGGTGTGGTCCCCGCCGGTTTAGACCGGTGGGCCTGCCACACTGGCTGCCTGGTTGTCCCTTCAGGGAGTCTCTGCTGTGGTCCCTGTGGCACAGCGCCAGGGGTGAGTCCAGGAAGCTCTGGGTGGCCCTCCAGAATGGAAGCAGGGGAGTGTACTTGGTCGGTGGCCAACAGGCCGAGGTCAGGCACCTGTGACAAGGGTGTGTGGACCCAGGGAGGCTCCCTAGGAAGGGTGCAGTTTGGGGTGTGTGAGGTGAGCAAGGAGCTTTCTGCCGTGGTCTTCACTTGCTCTGGACTGTGACTCACTCTGGGGCTCTGACCTTTCCAGAAAACAGGCCCCCACAGGCCTGTGGGCTGCACTGAGGGGTTGGGGGGATGGGCGGAGAGGGAGATACAGCTGCAGTGGTATCCGCACAGCAGAGGGAGATCCGCACAGCAGTGGTCCCCATGCTCACTTCGTACCTGGGGGCTCCTGAGGTCGGCTTGTGTGCCAAGATGCCCGCTGAGCTCAGGCCCTTCCCTGTGAGCGCCCTCGAGGTCCTGCAGGACCCCTGGCCGCCTAGGCCTCCCTTCCGGTGGCCCTCAGGCGTCCCCTCTGGGCCCTCCATGCCTGAGCACAGTGGCGCTGTCCCAGGGCTAAGTAATGGTGCTCCCTTGCAGGGCTCCCTGCGGACTGCCGTGGGCGCTGGGAGAACTTCGTGGAGGAGACACTGGCGGAGACCAACCGCAGGAACGCTGTGGACCTGGTGAGGGGCTCAGCTGTTCCCGTGGCACGGCATCCGTTGGTGCCGCGG